CCTGAAGGCATTTTGTCATTGATTCTGACTTCCAAGAAGTGACCCACAATTCTCTATCAGTCGCTCTAGTCTGCAATTTGAACTTCTCAGCCCTGCAGCTACCCGTCCCGCTCCCTTGCAAGCCCCACAAGATGTAAGTCCCATTCTGGCTTCTCTGTGTGAGTTCACTGGAGTGGATAGTGGCCCTCTGGTTTCCTCCACAAGGTGTAGAAGCATTTGATGTGATGGGTGAGGCACACCACACAGGACTGACCTTACAAATTATGGTGCCCTAGGCAGTCTGAGCACTTGCATCCCCTGCAGGCTGGGGGGAGTGGAGGGTCCAGGAGTGGCCTGCCCCCCAAATATGCCTTCCAAAACGCGAGAGGCGTGAGGTGTGGAATATGCTTTCAGATGCCTTTGAAGAGCAAGACTCCGATGCTGAAACTATGGAACCTGAGCCACTCAAAAAAAAAAAAAAATCAGCCTTTGCTGGTGACATCCGACTTCGACGGAAAAAATGAACATTCCCTGGTCCACAATGTGCAGAACCTGTGATCAGCACGGACGCCCATCCTCTAGAATGGTGGCTGAACCACGAAGGGCCATATGAATCTTTAGCGCATCTGGCATGTAAATATCCTGTAATGTCAGATCCCACAGTGCCATGCGAATGCCATTTCCCACTTTCAGGTGACGTGCAAACAAGAGGTGAGCAGCATGATCTCCTCCAATGTAAACAAATTTGTCTGTCTGAGCGACGGGCTGATCAAGGAATGGGGAAAAGTGGATTTGTAGGCTCCAAACTTTTACATTGTTTTATTTTTAATGCTCTGTTTTGGTACATAATTCTATATTTGTACATGCGTCTTTCGTGATTAAGAGATGATATAGTATTCATACTGCGGGAAGTGAAAAAAAACTATTTACTCACAGTGCAAATATTTGTATTTAAAATTATAAAGTGAGTACCGTCCATTTCGTATTCCGAGTTGTAATAGAAATCAATGTAGTTGAAAATGCAAAACAAACCTCAAAAATATTTAAATACATGGTATTCTATTATTGTTTAATTGCATGATTAATCATGCAACTAATTTTTCAATCACTTGACAGCTCTAGTTTATATGTAAATCATTTATCCTGGTGAATCACAGCTCCCAAAAAGTGCTGACCACTTGACTCATAATATTTCTAATACTGAGTGAAAAACTAGAAATCTTTTATCAGATTTTGAAGTTTAGAGGATCACTTACACTAGAACCTCAGAACTAGAAACACCAGAGTTATGCATTGAGCCAGTCAACCACATTTTGTCATCATGGGTGGTTGGCTGGGAGTCCGCGGAAAGGTCCGCATTGAGCTAGATGGGCAACAGGCCAAAAAGTCTGAGAACCCCTGGTCTAGTGTATGTTTTATAAATATAATTTGTGTGGCTGAACTGTTATTCTACAAAGTAGCACCTCATCTACCTTGTCTCATCCTATTTTTTTTAAATACACAAGAAAGCAAAAGATCTGCTCTAGAAAGTGGTGTTGAAAGTTCTTTATAGGGTTGTAAAATCCCATTTAATCTGTTAACCACGTAAACATTAAGCTTAACCAATTAACCACTTAAACAGGATACCATGGGCAGGGAGTCACTGCAGGCCCAGCCGGCTGGAGCACCGCAGTCTGTGGTGAGATGCTTCAGCCCAGCCTGGCTGCCAGTTAACCGGTGACATCACTAGTTCATTAACAACATTAAAGGAAAGCGAGTTCCCAGAAATACTATATTAACAAGAATTGAATTCAGCTGTAAAACAAGTTGTTTAACAGAGTCTCGTTAAGCATGACTGAAGTTAGCTTACATGACTAGGTTACTTACCTGGGTCAACTAACAAGATATTATCTCGGCCACAAGAGGGCACCCCTATTTACACTGATGAAGTGGAAAGTAGAATTAAAAACACTCATTTGGGAAGGGTTTTAGAGAAGGCCAAGGATATGCTTCCCACAAGGGTGAAAGGCTGGAATGGAGGGCTACGTCTAGACTACATCCCTTTGTCGTAAAAGGGATGTAAATTAGACGTATCGCAATTGCTAATGAAGCGGGGATTTAAATCTCCCCCGCTTCGTTAGCATACAAATGGCTGCTGCTTTTTTTCCCGCACGGAGCTTTGTCGGAAAAAAGCGCCAGTCTAGACGCTGATCTTGCGGAAAATAAAGCCTTTTCCGAAAGATCCCTTATCCCTCTATGAAATAAGGATTATTAGTAATTGCGATACGTCTAATTTACATCCCTTTTATGAAAAAGGGATGTAGTCTAGACGTAGCCAAGAAGTCTATTGACAGTAAAGCAATCCTATACCCGCAAAGTGTTCATAGAGGGCACAACTTATACTAGCAAAACTGCCCTTTTCAGTATAGCTTATTGCAGACTCCCCTCCCCCAGCAAAACACACTATATTGGAAAAGGGCCGTTTGGCTGACATAATTGCAGATTCACCACAGGTTTCTGCCAGCTCAGCTATGCTGGTGCGGGGGGGAGGGGAGGGGAGGGTCACACCCTTGACTAATATTGATATGCCAGTAGAAGTCTGAATCAGAACCATGGCCTTAAATAAAAAGGTTGCAAGCATAAGCACTCATTAATAAATACCAAGATGTCCAGTATTGAGCCCAACACTGACTCTTAACATCAGAGATCACCCAAAGTACTGAAACGCATAACAAACCAAATAGAGAGAGTGTACCCACCTCAGAAGCATTAATGTAACTCACTTCTAATAATTATCAAGAATATCAAGGGCCTGATTCCATATCAAGTTCAGTCCTATAGAAAGTGTGCTCTTCTAATTTGGATTGAATGAGCACTGTACAGTAACTCTCAATAAGATCAGTTCATGCCATAACCCTAATATGCTAGAAATTAAGATTCATAGTTGATACATTCAGAGACTGGATACCTGAACTCTTATTTGGGCATCTGCTTGGCAAATATTACTTTCAAAACACATGGAACAATCTTTGCAAAGGCTAAAAGAAACCTTTACCGTATATTAAACAAACCTAAAAGAAAGCATCAGCCGAATTGTAATAGCTTTCCTAGTGCTTCACAATACTGCAACACCTATCCACCTATATTGAGATTCCAAAGGACTTGTGAAAATCCATTAAATTTTTAAATTAAATTAAGGGAGATTGCCTATCTCCTAGAACTGGAAGGGACCTTGAAAGATGGAGTCCAGTCCCCTACCTTCACAGCAGGACCAAGTACCATCCCTAACAAATTTTTCCCCCAAATCCCTAAATGGCCTCTGCAAGGATTGAACTCACAACCTGGGTTGAGCAGGCCAATGCTCAAACTACTGAGCTATCCACGCCCCCATGAATATAGCTGATCAAAAAAGTTGTCAACATGTTGATAAAATTTCAAACAAACAGTGGAAGAGGGAATTCTGCAAACTTTTAATGAAAACTTTCTCTTGCTTTTGACCAGCCACATTCATGAATAAAGTTTCAACAATCTTAGTAAGCAGGCAAATATCCTTATTTTATAGGCAAGGAAACCTGAATGAAGAGATTAAGGGTCAGATCCTTGGCGTATAGCCACAAACCACATAGCACAAAGGTGGGAGAAGAGTTTTGGTGGTAGGCAGGCGCAAAGGACATGTAAAGCTTTCCATCTGCACTTCTCTAATTCCAGGCCAGCTGTGTGTAGGGCAAGTCCTGAGGCATGAGTCAGAACCACTTCAGGACTGCTCTAAATTATGTGAAATGCCAATGGGACCATAACAGCAGCCAGATAATAAGCAGCATGAGGTGGGAGGGCAGGGGAAAGGCGCTTTCCTCTAGTTAAGTTTCCTGTGCTGGCAGGAGGGGGGAGGGTTGGCATAGGAGTTTCTACACCTGCACTGATGCTCCACCCAGGGCCAGATACACAGGCTCTACACCTCAGAGTCCAGCAATGACATGGCACAATGTAACCATATTGAATACTGGGATATACTATAAACAATTCACTCATCACCACTCAGGAATTCAGGGGACACTCCAAACATCTTTCTACCCCAGGGTGGGGAACCTCCAGGATGCCAGCTGGCCATGGCTCATCAGGATTAGCCGCTGGCAGGCTACCAGACGGTTAGTTTGCCCCCGTGTCCACAGACATGGCTACTTGCAGCTCCCAGTAGCTGCGGTTCACCATCCCCAGCCAAAGAGAGCTGTGGGAAGCAGGCCGGGCCAGGGACACTCCAAACATCTTTCTACCCCAGGGTGGGGAACCTCCAGGATGCCAGCTGGCCATGGCTCATCAGGATTAGCCGCTGGCAGGCTACCAGACGGTTAGTTTGCCCCCGTGTCCACAGACATGGCTACTTGCAGCTCCCAGTAGCTGCGGTTCACCATCCCCAGCCAAAGAGAGCTGTGGGAAGCAGGCCGGGCCATTGCTTCCCACAGCTCCCACTGGCTGGGAAAAGCAAAACACACGCCCTCAGGTAAACACACGGTCTGGTAACCTGCCAGTGGGGGCAGAGCTGCAGCATCCCAGAGCCAGCACAAGCCACAGTGGGGGAAGCGAGTGCCCCCCTTATCGACTGATTAACTCTAATTTAACATCCCTACTTCCCCTTCAGAAAACAGCTGGTCAGTTTCAAATACGTTGCCTCCCAAGCCCTGAAGAGCCTACTTTCCGGAATGCAGCTCTCGTAGCACAAGCGGTCACAGCAAAGAGAGTTCACTGGCACACCGCAGAGGGGGAGAGAGAGAGAAACGGGGCAGATCACACTAACACAGAGGTGTTCAGATCCAGAGTTAATACTGCAGTGCTCAGGAGATTCCAGATCATTCCATTACTATCACCAACTGGAGATGAGGCCACCTGATAATCAAGGAGGAAAATCCAAAGGCTGGCAAAAAATAATTCTCAAATATATATGATCAACAGTTCCTCCATTAGCAAGGCAGTTTTGCAGAAACTGTGAACATTCAGGATACTGGAAAATCAAAGAAGGAAGAAGTGGAAAAACAAAGAACTCTTACGTGTTTAAAAGATCCATGGGGTGCTGCAATTGCTCCAGTGTCTTCTAGATACTCATCCCAATTGAATTCTGCTTCCTCCACACCAGACCCAGCATCTAGCACAGAACAAACAGTCTCAATCTAGTATCTGACATGGATGTAAGAGTCTGTTAACTTGATTTATTGCTTTAACCAAACCCTAAATATATTTTCAATTTTTATTCACCTAACACCTTTTAACACAGTTTCTATTGTGAATGCATTAGCGTAAAGATCAAATAACAAGTGAAAAGTAACCTGTAAATTGCAAGAGAATTGGTAGCAGCAGATGTGGACTTATAAATGGACTGATAAAAAAACCCCCCTATTTCATTACCTAGTAAACTTACTGATATCCTAGCAATTTTCTAGGCAAGCTTACAGCAAATAATAATTAAAGGGATTCTAAACAAGCTTGATTTTTGTATCATGAATGCTAAGGGGCTGCAGTAGGGACTCTGCAATGGAACTTTACATGGCATCTGATGAGGTGCTGCAATGAAATGGGACTTGGTAGAGATTCAGTCATTGGCTTCGATATGAGCACTATCAGATGGACTGAAAACTATCCAGAGAAAGACACGAGCCATCAGATAAAACAAAGCGTGAAATGCTCCATGGTGTTACGTTTGATTTTGAACAATGTCTTTATCAGAAAGTGGGAATGCAGGCACAAAGGCATCCTTTATCAACATTAGCAAGGACAGCGGGTTTTCAAATGGATTGAAAAATTAAAACGGAACTGGGCAAATAATGACATGGCAATTACTCAAACTTTTCCCTTCCAATAATGGGTATATTTAGGCCAGCTCTAGTTAACACTGAAAACATAAAAGAAGCCTCACTATGTGTTTAAAAAAAAAAAAAAAAGCCTGGGAAGGAAATAACTGAAAACATGGATATTCATTTAGGGCGAATCTACACTGCACTGTAGTTCGAAATAAGACACATAATTTGAGTTACACAAATTGCGTAATGTATTTCAATCTTATTTTGAAACAGCTTATTTTTTTAATCTGGCACTGTCTACACAGTGCCAAATTTCAAAACAACATACTACTCCGAAATGTGTCATACTCCTCATGAAATGAGGTTTACAGGGATGTCACAATAGCAAGCCCATGAAATTTCAAAATAACGGGTTTGCTGTGAAGACAGGGGATAGCTATTTCAGGATACTCTGATATCCCGAAATAGTGTTGAAGTGTAGACGTAGCCTTAGAGTTACATTTATGTGAGGCACTACCGTGATTACTGCTTTCAGACTATATTACACAAAGCATCAACAACAATTTACAGACCGCTAAACCAGATGAGAGTTTTCAAAAAACCCTCTGTTCGTGTAATTTGATTCTGGGCTGCATGCACAGACCCTTTCGTGGCAGGGAGGCTACAGGCCATTCGCATGGGACATTAGTGAAGCAGCACTTCAGTACCTAAGAGCATCCTGAAAGACTGTTGGGTGGACTGTTGAAAGAGAAGACATGGGAGGGTTCAGTCTAGAGTACATGGAGGTGGGCTCCAGCATGGCTGCAGCACTAATACGGGAAATAACAAGCATAGTTTGCAAACTAAAGCTATTCTTATTTCTGAACAACAGGGACTAGAAATTCACAGCATTAGTTAATCTGTCTTAATTCTCCTGACAAGCTCTCATGTGAAAATGTCCTTCAGTTTGGCCTGTCTGGTATACCTCAGGGACACAAGGTGAGTGGGATATCATCTTTTACCAGACCAAATTCTGAGACAAGCTTTCAAGACCTGAAGAGTTGTGTAAAGATCATGAGTTTGTCTCTCTCACCAAGAGAAGTTGGTCCAATACATGATATTACCTCATCCGACTAAGATCCTAGGACCAGCAAAGCTGCAACATTGCAAACAATAGCACACCTCATGCAAGAGAATATTTGTTTGGGTACAGACAGCTTTACATCTTTGGCAAAGGAAAGTTCATACTGATGCAGGCACTTACAACAAGACACAGAATTCTAGACACATCCACCCTTAACATCAAGTTAGAGAGTATTCAGAAGGTAGCAAGACAAGTGATGAATGGACTTGAAAGGAAAGATTAGAAGACTGAAATGGCTATTGATTGAGTAAACAGTGTCCCAAGAGGTAAACAGAGGAAGAAGCACCAAGGAAACAAGTGTGTCAACACAGAGGAGAAAGAAGAAAGGAATTAAGAGTGTTGCTTGATACACCATAGGAGAGGAGTCCCAGGGAACACTGCCTAGTACTGAAATCTGTTTGACGGTACAGGCAGTCCCCGGGTTACATACAAGATAGGGATTGTAGGTTTGTTCTTAAGTTGAATCTGTATGTAAGTCGGAACTGGCGTCCAGATTCAGCCACTGCTGAAACTGACCGCTAGTTCTGACTTACATACAGATTCAACTTAAGAACAAACCTACAATCCCTATCTTGTATGTAACCCGGGGACTGCCTGTACCGTCAAACAGATTTCAGTACTAGGCAGTGTTCCCTGGGACTCCTCTCCTATGGTGTATCAAGCAACACTCTTAATTCCTTTCTTCTTTCTCCTCTGTGTTGACACACTTGTTTCCTTGGTGCTTCTTCCTCTGTTTACCTCTTGGGACACTGTTTACTCAATCAATAGCCATTTCAGTCTTCTAATCTTTCCTTTTGCCCCTGGTCTGCTGGAGACGGTCCCCAGCAGACCAGGGGCACTGGGAGCAGCTTTTCTCACCCTGGAGGTCGAGGTGGCGGGACCGCTGCCTGCGAGCTCCGGGGCGAGAAAGCCCCGTTCGTAAGTGCAGATCCGACATAAGTCGGATCCGCGTAAGTCGGGGACTGCCTGTATTGAAATGGCATTGTCAGAGAAGCAGGGAAGTCCCATTGGGAGGGGCATTTTAAAACTAAAATGGGCAAAGACACTTGAGTACTTGCAGCAAACACTGAACTGGTAAAATAAAGACAAGGCAACTAATACAGCAAGTAGGACCTTCACATCTCCAGTTTTATAACTGTTTATATAAACTGAACGCCAGGGTAGCCTTTTGTAAGTTAACTAACAGAACATCAGGAAATTTTAGATCTAGTTTATAAACAATGCACACAAGAAGAAATATCATTTGGTACCAAGTTGTTAGAAGAGGTAAATTCTTTGGTAAATTCTAGGTGGGGCTCATCAAAGGGCTGTATAGCACTAAGTACTTCTACTCGTTCAGCCCTTTTAAGCCAGGTAATAAACCCTCTTGGAGTGACTGGGTTGGGTGGTGAAAGTCACTTGTTCTACAAGTGATAAAAACAGTCAGATTTTAAAACCATCTTACCTAACTCATTTACATCCTCATCTTTTTAGACCTTTCTACCCCAAAAGCCAACACAGATTCAAACAAAGAAGTGTGTTTGTCCATAATGGAAAGCTTGAAATTCTTTATGCAACACACACAAGAACATAAAAGTCTTCAGTCTAACTCTGTCAATTTTTTTTTAAATGGAGGGATAGTGTTATGGGAGATGTTGAAAGGGTGAGTCTTTGTTTTAAAGTGCTTTAATGCTAGGTGCTCTGCAGTGCTAGAAAGAGGGATTTCTTTCAGTCTGACAAAAATGATTAAAGAGAACTTGAGCTATGAGGGAAAACTGAAAGAATTGGGCTTGTTTAGTTTAGAAAGGAGAAGACAGAGAGGACATGATAGCAGTTTTCCAGTATCTAAAAGGGTGTTATAAGGAGGAGGGAGAAAAATTGTTCTCCTTGGCCTCTGAGGATAGGACAAGAAGCAGTGGGCTTAAATTGCAGCAAGGGAGGTTTAGGCTGGACATCAGGAAAAATTTAAGAGCAGGTTAGACAGACACCCACACACCAGAGATGATCTAGACCGGGAGTGGCCAACCCACAACTCGTGAGCCACACGTGGCTCTTCACCCCTGAAAGTGTGGCTCGTGAAGCTGCCCCATGTGCCCCTACAAACGGCCCCCAGCTCCCTGTGCTCACCGGGTACAGGGGAGCCGTCCGGCATGGCAAAATGGCATTGGCAAGATGGTGATGGCTGATGGGAGCCTGATGCGGCCAAAAAGTCTTTTTTCCACCGCTGTTTCGGCTCTCTTCGTTTAATGGGTTGGCCACCCTGATCTAGATGGTGCTTGGTCCTGCCGTGAGGGCAGGGGACTGGACTCGATGACCTCTCGAGGTCCCTTCCAATTCTAGTGTTTTATGATTCTAATTGTTAGAAGGAACTCCAAGAAAGCAGAAATGCATTTCCTTCTTTTCTAGGTATCATATGCCCACTGTTACAGGAATGTTTGAAACAACTCTAAATGAATTGGGACTGAGAGTTACATCTGTTTTGCTTTGCAAATCTCATTTACAGTCTGCTCCAAGCTGCATATGAATTGCTAGCTTCTGGTTTTCTACTACAAGTGTGATGGGCCATTATCTTGTACATTATATAAATCACCACTTTCAGCACTGCATAGCAAGCACAAAAAAGTCACTGGAACGAAACCTTGGAACTTAATTACCAATTTTTACTCTCACTTTTGTGGAAATGAGTTTAATACTTTCCCTCCAATTTTTACAACTAAACCCTCAATGTTATAATGCTTTAAACTCTAGGGGACTCTATGACAAATCTGTCTACCTTGTACCCATGTTCTGCCTCTCTACAGTGCTGAAATTTCCAATTAATTTATTGTAACTGTTGCTGGGTGAATATTCAATAAGCTTTTTATGTTTCTTAATGTCCCCACACTAAAATGGTGCATTATGTTCAATGAGGAGAAAGGTAACAACTTAATTTTCCCCCTCCAACGGATAGATATATTATGCATGGATGTATTCATTGACAAAATGTTTCATGTTCTGTATTTGATTTCAGAAATACTCTAGAATCTCAGAGTTACAAACACCTCAGGAATGGAGATTGTCCATAACTATGAAATGTTCATAATTCTGAACAAAGCACAATTTGGGCTCCAGCAGCTGCATTAGTTCTGCTATGTTAGACTACCCATCCTGTGTTACCATTTAACACTGAGAATAAGTGAAGGTGGCGAAATGTGACACCAGAGTTTCATTCAGGTGTTCCCAAGGAACACAGTCAACCACAGATGC